AATGAAATACTTTGTTTCCAAAGGAAGATGGATAAATTTATTGATAAACATAATCTGCTTGACTGTATTGCATATCTTGATGATGTTACAATTTGTACTAACAATATAAAAGAGCACAACAAAAATTTAAATCTCTTTCTTGAAACTGTTATTTTAATAACTTAATAGACAAATATGTCTTCACAGTTTCATCAATAGACCTGTTCAGCTACCGTATTTCACATGGGTTACTGAGTCCAAATCCTCAATGTCTCCGCTCTCGTCTTGATTTGCATGTTCTTATTGATAAGGATGTGGGTATGTTCGCGTATTATGCCAAATGGATACACACATTTTTCTGATAAAATAAGACCCCTTAATTCTGTGAACAAATTTTCACTTAAGGACTTTGAAATACCAAAAATTGACTTGGTCAAAGCATCAGTCCAAGCTATTGAGATATTCCTTTTGGAAATCGACGCTTCAATTGCAGCCAATACTCGAGATTTCCGTTTGGTTTCCCAGTGAAAGGTATGGTATCTGCAACTGTCAAAAAGTGTCACAGTAATTTGTTTTTTGTTTTGGAATGCCATCAGATGTGCATTTAGGCATGCATGTCAGTTATCTCAAGAGAGATGAAAGAATAGAATGGTTCTAGTAAAATAACATCTTACAATCCTATAGGCAATTCCATAGGTAGAAATATACAACAGTATCTTTTGGAGGTCAGTATGGTTAGCTTTTATATCATGGAATTTACCGATAGAATCATGGGAAAGTGTTTTTTCAAGTGCGTTACATTCAATTCGATCTCTACTGTACACCTCTATTAACTGTACTCCACATGAACAACTCTTGCGGAAATCAACAATCCCAATGCACATAACTTATGACCACTTCTCACATTAACTGGACATGCTCCTAGCACATTTGCGTCACATTACCTACCTTCTTAAGGAGTTAATAGCATGAATCTAGTTATAGCTACACTGAAAGCTATGTTCTCGGCCTCTAACTTATATCTGGATAAGGAAGTGTTTTTAAGGGTAAGTGCTTTTGCTGTCATCACCGCCTTGGAGAATAATATCATTCTCAATGGAAATATCCTGCAAAAACAACAGGAATGTCATCAATTCAGGGTGCTTTTCGCAGGCGCATCTGCGTCTACCATCCACAGGATTACAAAATTCAACTCCTGCTTGACCAAAGAGATCATCTATTGAAATGGTGACAATGCAACGAGAAATGAAAACTGCATCATTCTGCTCCCAACAATTTGTGAACGCCGACACAGCATTCTAACAAGAGGTGCCTAACCATATTTGAAGATCGCGAATTCAACTGACTTATCGCATAATGGAGGAGACTACAATCACGCAACCTATGGAGACCACGTTAACGATGAACCTTTCAACATTCAACTCCGCTAATATAAATATATGGTTCTTGCAACTACAAGCAATTTTCAACGCAAAGAAAATTACATCTCAGTGTCTACAATATTGCTACGCTGTCGAAAAACTACCCACTGAACTAGCTGTAGAATTGATGGACTTACTTGAAACTATGCCCGAAGACTATCCATATGATATTTTACGCCAAGCAATAATTAAAAGGATGGGAAAATCTAAAGAAAGCATGTTAAGCGATTTACTTAACAACGTAGGACTTGGTGGCAGAAGACCCTCTCAATTACTCCGCCACATGAGGTAGCTACTTGGATACAATACCATGGCCGATTATATTCTAAAAAGGGATGTAGCCGGATAAATTACCTACAACGACCACGCAAATTTTAGCGCCTATGTCAGAAGACGAAAACCCTTGAGAAGTTAGATGATGTCGCTGAAAGAATTCATAACACAGAAAGCAACAGATTACTACAATCAGTCTCAGAAAACAACGCAAACACAAGGAAGCTGTAATAGAAATGACCAAACAAATGAAGATGATGCATCAACATTATAAAAACAGATCCCGTTCAAGCGCAACCAGACGACATAATGGTAGGCGCAGGCCTGGTTCAAGAGATGTATATTGCTGGTACCATAAGAAATTCGACAGCAACGCGCAGAAATGCAGTAAGCCATGCGAATTTCAGGAGAACAGCTCATCCAGTCAATTAATGCGACCACATTCACTGGACAAACTATAAAAAAAAAGTCGCCTATTCTATATCAAAGACAGCTCCACTAAGATGAATTTCCTGATAAATACAGGCGCACAGGTTAATGTCATATCAGCTCCACTAACACTACCTCTACACTATAGTACAAGCCGCAAATGGATCTATTATTTCGACATATCATGAATGGGCCCTCACGCTAAATCTAGAGAGAGAATTCAAATGGACTTTCATAATAGCTGATGTGTAAACACCGTGCATTATCGGTTCAGATTTTTTAACCAAGTTTAAACTCTCTGTTAATATGTCCAGTTACACTTTAATTGATGAGGAAACTCGACTGAAAACATCGGGAATTCGCACGTCCCTTAATACCAGTCGCTGATGAGGATATTCACAAGGCTGCGGTAATCACTCTCTTTGGACTGTTTGTTCACTAAAAAGCCGTTTGGGTTACGCAATGCTGCTCAAACATTCATAGACAAAGTTTTAAGAGGGCTACCTTTCGTTTTCGCCTAGGCCTAGGTGGATTATTAATAGCTAGCAAAGACAAAGAAGAGCATAGCCAACTTCTACAACAAGTGCTTAGTAGACTTACGCAACATGGATCAAGTATCAACCTCCCAATATGCCTCATCGGAGTTAACAATTTCCTCGGACACACAATTTCAAAAGAAGGCGTTACTCCTATTCAAGAAAAAAATAGATGCCATCACCAACCTATCAACGCCAACTTCAGTCAAACAATTAAGGCGATTTGTTGATCTCATCAATTTTTACAGGAACCACATATCTAAATGTTCACACATTCTCGCTCCAATTACAACTTTACGTAAAAGAAAAAACAAAAAGGTATAGAGAGTTCCAAACTATAAAAAGATTATTTTTAATAATGTTGAAATTCTGTGTTTAATCGTTGAGGTTGTTTTGTTTTATTTAATACACGTTTTTTTTTTCTTTGTTTTTGTTTTTTGTGGAAAGTGTATTTTTCTGAAGGCTAGACGGTTTGTGTGGAAATTTTTACATTTTAAGGTCTTTTATGGTGAAGCGGTTGATACCACCGATATTGTTTGGTTTGTTGTGGATTCATTTTTTGAATACTTGAAGAAGGATTTTATATATATCGGTCAATGAGAGACGATTTCTTGAAGCCCTTGTGAAAACTTGAATTGAGCCAATATGACGGTCCCCTTTTCAATAAAAAAGGACTTCTATCAGTAGAGAAAGAATGAACCGTTGACGAAAGAGCTATTAACGGTCGATGAGGATTGGCGTCCACGCTTCAAGAGGAATGGTCTGGACGAGTGGTCCATAAACACACGAGGAGAAAACTTTTGGACAGCAAAGAAACAAGGCAGGTCGTCAACATCAAAGGAACTATTTGTCACCAAGAAGAGAACATCAGAGGCACCAGTTACCAGCCAGCCTAAAAACGAAAAGATTTCGAAGAAATTTTCAAGCACGAACCGTGTAAAGTTAAAAGTTTTCAAAATAACTGCTGTGAAAGTAGGTCTTTTCGTTTTTCCTCAAAGATTGTTGAACCTTTTTTCTTACAGCTTTTTTTGTATTGTTTTTCCTTTTTGCCATTTACAAAATCCTTGTTTTTCCCTTGCTGTAATTTACACCTTTCTTTGGTAATCTTTGAAACTGCTATATTGCCTTTGAGGCGCACAGAAGGAAATATTTGTGCAAACTTGAATTTTACCTTTTTGTAATTGTGTAAATTCCTTGGGTCATCGTTTGAATAAAAAAATGAGAGAAAGATTATTGCGTGCTCAAATAAAATTATATTTATTTAAATGTAGGATACACAAACTGTAATTATCATGAAATGAAAGAAAGTTCTCTTTGATTGTAAGAAAATGAACCTGAATAGTCTTTCAGTGTGGAAGAAGAAAGTGGAATTGGGAAACAAGATCAAAGAGAGTCCGCTGTTGCTTTGATGAGAAAGGCAAGAAGCCGGGGTTGACTCGTGTCTCTTTACTGCTGTCAGTCCTTCTGCTGAGCTGAATAAATATTTGATTTTCATAGTCTTGTGTAGGTTCCAGAATCCTGTGTTTATTTACTGGCGGGAATTGATTTTATTGGCTATTTATTTTTATTAAATTGAAAATTTGAAGTGTGTTTGAAACCCAGAAGGCTGCGCAGAGCTCTTGCGCTCTTGCGCTCTTTTTCCCATTCCATCGATAAGTTGTAATTAATATTACATCAACAAACTCTCAGCTGTATTTGTACCTAATCCACATAGTTTATTGTTTCTTATTTAACCACAAATTTTGACCCTAAAATCTATTTCTTTATTCTCATGTGTGCTGACGAAAAGTGAATAGGATAATTGGTCGTGGGTAGAAATTTAAAAAAAATTTAATGTAGATAAACAATGCATGAAAGAAATGATTTTTCGAGTCACTGTGCGTACTTTTTTTAGAGTAGTTAACGGAAAAACGTTTTCCGTTTGTAATCTTTTTTTTTAACTGTATGTCACATTTGAAAAGTGAATCATTTAAGAACATCGTTGGCGCTTGTTAACAGAAAACAAGTCTATATTTCTTCTTAGCCCAACATAACGCATTTTGGATAGATTTGACACATCTCCGATTCTTTCATCAAAAGCATGAAAAATGAGAAAGTTTACAATTTAAAATAAAGCGTGGTCGATTTTTTTTTTAAGTACATGGATATTCCTAGAGAAACAAAAATCGCTTCTATGACTTCCGGACTTTGTTCAAATTAAGCTTACATAAATTAAAGAGTGTAGCGGGCGGTCCAGTGGCCACGTTTCACAGAAAGGGGGTGAACGAGGTCACAAGAGGCCCGCTGACATTTTTGACGCGATTAAATCTGACGGTGAAACAATATGGACGACAGAACGAGGATATGTATGATATACAGAGGTTTATTCTAAAAGGAAAAGGAAATGAAGATGGTCGGAAACGGTGGAGGTGCTGGAAGCTGCAGGAGTGCTGGAAGCTACGGGAGTGAGCTGGAAACTGCAGGAGTGAGCTGGATGCTGCAGGAGTGAGCTGGATGCTGCAGGAGTGAGCCGGAAATTGCGGGAGTGAGCCGGATGCTGCAGGAGTGAGCTGGATGCTGCAGGAGTGAGCCGGATGCTGCAGGAGTGAGCTGGATACTGCAGAAGTTTTAGTGCAGGCATTGATGGTCGAGGTTGGCGTTGGTAGTTGCTAGGATCATCGTTGTTGGGGGTTGAAGCTGATGTGGGTTTGTTGCCAGGATGATCGCTTGGTGGTTGTTGCCAGGATGATCGCTTGGTGGTTGTTGATGTTGAGTGATGCCAGGATGATCGTTGTTGGTTGTTGAAGCTGAGTCTGTTGCCGGGGTGCCAACTTGACGTGTTTGCCGTTGCCGGGATGCCAACTTGACGTGTTGGGAAGGAGAGAGAGAGAGAAAGTTCCCAACTATCGTCAAGTTGGCAGACAAAAAGAAATGGGAGCGTAACTTAATACACAGCCCGTAGATCGGCGTCCTTGGCCAATGAAGGCCAAGGGGCCTGCGTAGACGACCGTTGCGGCCGCCGACAGCCTCCTGAGAATCTAGGGAGAAATCACTGTCTTGTGACGCGGGAGACCAGCGAGAGAAATTGGCTAAGCTAACCGAAAAGTCTCTATAATAAAATGCTACGAGGTTAGCTAAAGAGAACTAATGTCTAAAAATGACTAGTATATTACAACTAGGTTTGTAATATAGCCTAACTAAAAAGGGGATTTGCTAGTCCCTCCGACGTGTTAACAGTCTGTAAAGAGCATGAATGAGAGGTCAAGGTCGAAATGACCTGTTCCTCTACCGGTTCAAGGATAGAAGGAGGAGGTAACTCCGACAAGAGTACTTTTGATGTAGAAAATGTCCGAAATCTGAAAATCTAACGTTATTTTTCTGGGAACGTCAGTTTTCAAACTCCGCAGGGGTCGATTGGATTTGGATTTTAAGCTGGTAATTCAAACGGATTTGATTTAGATTTAAAATCGATATTGGACAAGATTTGATTGGGATTGGTGTATTTCTAAGTGAAACGATTCCCTTCGTAAAAAGGAGTGAAACATTTTTTATGACTAATTTTTGTTGCTTAAAAAGAAATGTTTTGGCAAAACATACTTAGTTAGATTTGAAGAAGAAAATCAATTCCTGATAGTAAATGAGAGAAAAAGCAAGAGTCCGTAGTTCAGTTATCAATGGCGTGCGTACTATTCAAACTTGACATTTGTAAATAAAAACAAGGGACAGGTACCACTTAAAAACAGAAATCATTTTGAGACTATTTTGGAGCTCCCAATAAATAATAAAATATCAATAATTTTCGATTCTAACAAATATGTTGATTCTAGAAAGATCTAAGTTAAATATTAATCAAGAAATTAACCTTAACGAGGGTAATATTTTTTTTTAAGTGTTAATTATCAAATAGCATCCGAAAAATTCTTTTAAATTTTTGCCGATAAGAAATTTTAAAATTCTCCATAAATTGAAAATGTATATAATTAATTTCAAACAGAAATAAAAGCAGTTACTTTTGTAAAGCATTAAAAAGCTATCAATTCGAATATAAAGGAACGTATTTGACACAGGACTCATAGAAAACAAAGATGTCAATCTGGAAAATATTTAATAAATATTATAGAACAAGCACTTAAAAATAATTTCATTAATTATGAAATAACTTCTAAAAACTCAACTATCTGAAACTTAAGGGATTTTGACAACGTATTTTCAATGCTTTAGAGGTTCCCATGTAAATCTAATGTTTCCTGCTTAAATATCTGAAATCACTATAAATATTCACCATCACGCTGCTATATATCGCTTTTTTTTACTGGTTTGCATGGTCCAAATAAATTGTATAATTATTTTAACACCAGTTTTTTAATCAACTTTATTTTTAACACTTGTTAGATCCTGGACAAAACTCCCAAGGCAAAAGCAGGCTTTTTTTTTGGAAAAGTAAATGAATAGTTTAGTGTGTAGCGGCCCACAGAAGGGTTTGTTTTGTTTTTTCTATCAGGAAATCTTAATATAAAGAATATACAGGAAAATATTGACACCAAAAACTGAGTTACAACAAAGGTAGAGTTCTTAATAAAAAGTTTTATCATTGGCAAATAACCAACAACTTAATTACACCATGCAGGTGGTAAGTCTTTGGAAATGTTCGCGTATTATGTTCCTTAATGAAAGGATAAGCTAAACTCAAATGAAATCACTTGAATTAGGTGATTTAGGACTGGTAAGTAAAATCCAAAAACGGCGGCGTGCTGAAATGAAGAAGATGTCACACGGGGCATGTCGTTACGTAAATTCAGAAATTTGGCGATGCTGATGATAAGGGACGCCGAAATATAGTGTGATTGCTAAGTAACCAATCATGATAGCTTAGGCCATCATGATGGTGTTTCCGCGAACAAAATGTTAAGAGAATCAACATGCAAAAACAATGAATAATTAACAAAGCAGCAAGAGCAAAACGTGGGAATGGGTTTGCTCAACAGAAATGAACGGAATATTCTCAACCGTCAAATTCGGGGCAGATGGCAAAGAAAAGAAAAGCAGATTCACTGCATCTTCCAGATAGATAGATAGATAGAGAGAGAGAAAGAGAGAGAGAAAGAGAGAGAGAGAGAGATAGAGAGAGAGAGAGAGAGAGAGAGAGAGAGAGAGAGAACAGAGAAGAGAAGAGACGGAAAGGCGATGTCTAGACGCAGACATCGCCTTTCCGTCTCTTCCATGAATGAAGAGGTGAAAAGAGGAAAAGAAAGCAAGCATGAAGAGAGAACCTCAACAGCAAAGAGGGAAGTCGCTTCTACTTTGTTCAGACAACCCTTCGGGTCAGGGAGGCGATCATTACTGTCGTAGTGACAGGGTCAGTAACATACCCCTGGTGTGGGGGAAGAGAGTCGGTATTTACCTTGAACAAGGCCATTTATTAATGTGAGGAACCAGAGTGTTTCCACTCAGACCACTGGTCTATTTTCGGTCTTAACTGGTTAATATGCCGTCGGGGGAAGGAGAGGAGACTTCAGCACGGAGCAGACGCTACAACAACGTACACTCCGCACCAAAATATTCTCTTCCTGGCGCTCCAGGTGGCACTCCCCGAGGGGTAGGGGTAGGGGTAGGGAAGAGAGAGCCGGTCTTTACCTTGGATTCCCAGTGAAACAAGGGCGTGACACAAGGTCATTCTTTTTAATTTTTCTATTTGTGATGATGTATTAATGTATGCAGAACGCGTAGTAATTCCTAAATCATAACAGAAACTAATTCCACAATAACCATCCAGGAATTTCCAGAATTAAATCCCTAATGCGAAACTATGCTTATTGGAAGAATATGGACATTATTGACTATAGACTTATTGAAAATAAGGTTAAACATGCCATAAATGTGCACTAGCAACGAAATCACCAACCTACCTTACTAATATCCGTACATCTCATATTTGTGGCTGTTCTTTCTGTTGTTTTTGCTGTGAGGCTCTTTTTTATCATTCCGGATCTACTAAGAGACTTTTGTTCGATTAAGTAATCAGCGAAGGCTGTTCACGTAACCGAACCGAACCGATTCCTTTGAATCAGCTTGGCGAAAATACGCAGGAGATAAGATATTTGGATGATCTGCTCCAGTTTACGTCAAATATCCATTTTATTTTTTTAATAAAATGGATGATTGAGGTAGTTGAGACAACATTTCTATGTCTCGCAGCATCAATATCTTTGTTTGGCCCCTTGTACGTCATTTGTTGACGAACAGGCATGGGATCAGTAATGACAATCGTTTCTCTTGAACAACTTCGTCCTTGAAACTTCTGAAAGTTTTTGTTCTAGTGACCACTTGAACATTATGTAACACTAGCAATGATCAAATATTCCTTTTCGTTCCTGAATTTTTGTGGAGTAGTTTTTCTTCGCATTTTATATATAACATGTTAGTGCAAACGCTTACATCAGGCTTGCCACGAACAAACTTGTCTGGTCATGCATGAATATTCAGCTTTCGATAAAGATCTTCGTTCAATGCCAAATTTTGTTCGTTCGAAGCATTCGCCATGAGAGACTTTTTCGCATATACTACAGCAAAATATTTTGTCTGGATGGTATCTCGTTTGCTACTTGGCAATTCGAATATGATTTATGACACTTTTGGATAAGAAGAGAATCAGTATCATTGCTGATCATCCTGAAGCAAATGATATATTGGAAAGTTTCCACTGGCGTTTGTAATCTGACCTGAAAGCAAAATCGGACCAGTCTAATTCCCTTAATCCTTCTAGAACTTCGTACGTAATATATCGGGCCACCCTCACACTTCCTGGTCAATTTTTCTTCTTTCACAAAAAGTCATGGAAACCACATGGAACCTGCAGCTATCTCCATGAAAAGGACCATTCAACATCCTCAAAAGGTATCCCATTCTTTACGTTAAAATGTACCGTGCGTTAAAATTATCCTATGTTTGGGTGCTACTTAGGTTGATGTGGACACTCCAATGATTTTTTAATCATATTTGGGGCTGAATGTGCCAAAGCAAATTGTGATGTGGTCTGGTCGTCATTTTAAGTGGCTCAAACATCTATTAATGTTTTCCCATTCAGTTATATTTATCAGTAGTTCATTTATAAGATATATTATTGCTGCCTGAGTTGAACTTAACCAATCACTACTTATGAATTGATCCTTTTTAACTATTTACTTAGTGCAGAGTTATATTTTGATTATTTTCAGTTTTCGGTGCACAAATTTGTAAAATTTATACGTTTTCCTATATTTTGTCATCTTTTGGCATTTTGTTTACTTGTTTTGTGGGTACTTGTAGCGTTACAAAACTTAATTATCTACTATTGACTCAGTTATAATTTTTACATATGTCAGGGGGCAAGAAATGCAATATCTGAGAAATTGGCTTAGAAGTGTAATTCGTCCCTCCAACTGGGGTCAATTCATCTGGACGACTGCATATTCCCTCGCTACATCAATGACGTAATGTTTTATTAAGTAATCTCTCAAGTAATGGCAATTGTAACGATGAGAATAGCCATTTCCACACAAGAAACATTCGACATTCATTGATCAAACCGTTAGTGTTACTACTAGTTTAAATTTATAAAATGTTTCTAAAAAGCAGTTTTATCGAACGCCTATGTCCTATAAAGCGTGCCGCTCCAACCCCTTGGTCAGATGATCACCAGCCTCGCCTTTCCCGACTCGCTTCCAATACCTGGTCACTAAAGCAACTGTACCGATCTCCGGTCTGTCTACCCACGCTGTGTTTAGATCTTAGACAGACGGGACCAGCAGGGATTGGGGCCGATACAAGTTGAGTCCGACGGGGGTGGCAAAACACAAATAAAAACAGAAAATAAACTCACGAGACAAAAATAAAATAAGATTGCTGATGAAAAAAATGGGTAACACCCTTTTATATCTTAATGTCCGTTACATAAAAACAAAATTGTTCTCATTTCCCAACCCGCTCTGTGGACTATGGCTATAAAAGCTTCTATCACACAACCTAAAGATTTCGAATTGCCTACTCTTTAGAATTGTGTATGTCGGAGTGTTTAGATCTTAGACAGACGGGTTTGGTTCGACACTGGGGCTAATTTCTATCGATCATTCGCAGTTGATTCTTCTCTTCGACTTGAGTTGTTCTTTCTTCTTCTTCGTCGACTTAGGCTGGAAGTTCTCTTGTCTTCGACTTGGGCTGGAAGGCTGGAAGTTCCCTTGTCTTGTCTTCGACTTGGGCTGGAAGGATCTTTGCCGCAACTCAGCCGCAACTCTCTGTCGTCCGAGGTGATCTCTTCTCGCTGCCGTCCGGGGCTGAACTCTTCTGTCTTCGACTTGGGCTGGAAGGATTTCTTGTCTGAGGATTCTTTTGCCCGCAAAGGGGCGAGTGAATCGGGCCTGATGCCCGCGTTCAGGCTCTATCCCTGCCCGCGGTCCAGCTGCAACTCTCAACTCCAACTGATTTCTGTCGACTGGGGTCCTGCTTTTATTGACGCCGCAACAAACTGGGGTGGGTCTGTCGGCGTCAGGGTTTTCTCGATAATTCCAAAAGTCGCATTATTTTTGATTTCCCATTATCGCTATTGTTTTCACCCCTACTTCCTCACAGTGCCTTTTGTGGGGAGGTGCACACCCATCTCTCTTAGTCTCTCGTATGTCAGGTGACCGTTTTTCGACCAATGGTTCCTGATCGGGCATTTCTTTCTCTTCTTTTCTGCAGATCACGTGACCGTTTCCGACCAATTGTTATTGATCGAGCATCCTTTCTCCTCCTTTCGGGCGTGGTTACATCGTTCTTGTTTTTAAAAACAAAATCCAATTTTGCCCTTTTTCTGCACGTACGAAAAATGACAATCTTGGCTTTCTCTCACCTGGGCTCTGTCAACCAGCCCGCCGCTAATTAGTTGTGACTTCAGGAAAGAATATTGTCGCCATCTGTGATCTGAGACAATCGTTTTTTTTTCACCTCTTGTTTTTTGTCAGACCCGGCAGTCAGAAAATCTTAATTTATCTGAATTGAAAACATCTTTCACTCGTCAATGTGGGGTTCTAATTTTTAACAGGTCAGAATCTGTATACCGTTCCACCGGTCACTCCCCTCAACCCAAAAACACTTTTTCTCTGATTAAGATTTCGTTTTCATTGTTCCCAAAATTTCCCTTTATCCAAATTGATAAGGTGTCTTTCTACGCAAAAAGTAGGCTAGATGCTTTGACCGATATCTGGTTTTCATCAAGCGGCCCGTTTTGATATCATGTCTTTTCCCTTTCTTTCTTTTTTATTATTTCTAATTCTATTCTTCCAATTGTCTTTAAAAAATTCGGTCAACATGCTAGCTAAGATATCTTTCTGACTCGTGTTTTTTGTTAATGACCGCTTTTTTATTTCTCGACCTCTCTCTTTTCTTTTCTCTTTTCCCTTCCTTCCTTCTTCTTTTCCTTAGGATCGTCCAAGTACAATCTTAGTGAATTATTTTCAACTCAATTATTTTCCGTTTTAAAAAAAAATCAACAACCTGTTTAGTAAACCGAGTAAAAAAAAAAAAAAAATTAAATCATATTTCTATGAATATTTCTAATAATGCAAGGTGCCACAATCCTCCCCTAACCGATTTGTCATTTACCCGTAAATGACACCTAAACCAATTACATCATTTAACATGCACCATGCATTTGTCTCATGCAATTCTATTCTACTTTCTAACATGCAAGGGTAATGTTCTTTCCATTTTTTCTTTTGTTCTACATGCAATGAAATGTTCTTTTCATTTTCTTTTGTTCTACATGCAATGAAATGTTCTTTTCATTTTCTTTTGTTCTACATTGAAATGTTCTTTTCATTTTTTCTTCTGTTCTACATGCAATGAAATGTTCTTTTCATTTTCTTTGTTCTACATGCAATTGTTCTTTTCATTTTCTTTTGTTCTACATGCAATGAAATGTTCTTTTCATTTCTTCTGTTCTACATGCAATGAAATGTTCTTTTCATTTTCTTTTGTTCTACATGCAATGAAATGTTCTTTTCATTTTCTTCTGTTCTACATGCAATGAAATGTTCTTTTCATTTTCTTTTGTTCTACATGCAATGAAATGTTCTTTTCATTTTCTTTTGTTTTTTCATGCAAATGGTAATGTGTGCGTGTGTTTGTAGGTGCAGATGTGTTCACTAGGGTTTGTTCTTCTTGGTCAATGTTTTCCTCTCTGCCGTGGGAGGTTTTTCCCGCCGCACGTGGTGGTCTCACGCCAGCCTCCTCCATTGGTCTTT